ACACACACACACATACACACACACACACACACACACACACACACGAAACCCCTGAAACCTTGAGAACCCAAACCCAAAGAAATCAAATCCAGAGAAGCCAAACTCAAAGAAATGAATCCCAAACCAAAAAAAAAAAAAAAAACCCAGAGTGTCCAAACCCAGAAAACCCAAACCCAATGAACTCAAACCCAGAGAGTCCAAACCCAATGAACTCAAACCCAGAAAACCCAAACCCAAAGAAATCGAGCTCAGAGAGTCCAAACCCAATGAATTCAAACCCAGAGAGTCCAAACCCAATGAACTCAAACCCAGAGAGTCCAAACCCAATGAACTCAAACCCAGAGAGTCCAAACCCAGTGAACTCAAACCCAGAGAACCCAAACCCAAAGAAATCAAACCTAGAGTGTCCAAAACCAAAGAAATCAAACCCAGAGAACCCAAAGAACTCAAATCCAGATTCCCTAAACTCCAGAGAACCCACACCCAAGAAAATCTAAACCCAAAGAAATCAAACTCAGAGACCAAAAATGATGTCATGTACATGATGTATGTGGTGCTTGATGCTCACCAAGGGTCACATGATCAGGTGTTTCCTGTAGACAGTGAGCCGCTGTAACGACCCAGCGATCATTGATCAGTGTTCCTCCACAGAAACCATTCTCATTTTTCCTGCGTAGCAGAGTCTAGAAAGTACACACCGCATTCAACACTGCTATTCTTTTACTCATATTTTCATGATCACATGACCAACAGACTCCACCCACCTGCCATGGACTTCCACCCTGACGCTGCAGCTGGCCGCCTACAATTCGTGTATCTGAGTCATCAGATGTAGATATGTTGTGCAGTGGGTGAGTGGCGTTCTCCGTAAGGTGGGTGTGATTTGACGTGATTAGACTGTTGTTTGTGGGGTAGTGGGTGGGGTTTTCCGCCATGTGGGTGTGGTTTAGATCATCCAATAAGGAGCGCAGTAGAATGCCCTGAGTCCATTGTTTTCCACATGGGAATTTTGCTATGAAGGTTTATCAGGTATGTTACAGGGGCATGTTACAGGTATGATTTTTGTTTTTGTTTATTGTTTCTTTTTTTATTACCCGTCACTTTGCAGCTTTTTCCGTCCTCCTCCAGTTCATATCCGTCAGCACAGCTGCAGGTGACACTTGAGCCAACCGGTTGTGAGTCTCTGCAGTAATGCAAACATCCACCATTCTTGTATTCACACTCAAACACCTCTGAACACACACACACACACACACACACACACACAAATCAGTGACTGAAACCACATCAACCGAGCGGTTCCATGTGAAAAAACACGAAACCTGAAAACACCAACAAGCTGATTCACTAACAGGGTCTACAGAGGATTGTGTCCATAATTGTAGCAAAAATAATACACTTATTTGTCTTAATAAGTATGCAGTTTTGGTCGTTGCTACCCAAAAATACAAAATGGACAGACAAGTCAATGCAAATCAATTCATTCAGCACGCACAGCATGATTTACAACAAGCCATGACTGTGTGCAGATTAGTATAACCGAAGGGGAGGTATTACATTTGCCTCAGCCAGTTTCTGCCATCTGGAGACAAAATAATTGTCAGTATGTAAAAATAATGAGAAATGTTTTGTTATTGGGATATTTTATACATATTTACATAATATTTCTCATTATATAATAATACAATTCAATTTATTAAGCCAGTTTTATTCTGTTGGAAAATTCAGCCTCTTTCAAGCACTTATATCTGCCAATAGAATAAGATCAAGCTTGAAACGAATGAATGAGGCTAGAAACATCTCATTTCTGTTTGTCACTAACTCAGGAGGAGAAATATTCGATGCATTTGCATATATACAAGATATTTTATTTACTTTTTAAGATTTTTTTTTTTAGCACTGTTGTAAATATAAATAATATAAAAATAAAGTTGGCTAGATATTTGCTGCCTGCTCTCTTGTTTGATGTTATAGTAGATTTTTTTCTGCAGAGCTTTAGTGCCGGACTGGTCAGGTTGAACGTGATGGATAGGGAATTAACGATAATGGTGATTTGTCTTGTTGCAGCATGTTGTCCTGTCATTTGAACAATTACTTCTTAGTTAACAATGAATGTGGCCATTTCAAAATCAGGAAAATTCAGGAAATAGTATTTGCAGAATATGGCTGTGGGCAGGATATGTGGTTCTGGGCCTCGGAATGGCATGTTATTGTGAAAAAAAAAATTAAACTATGAATCAACAGAAATTAGATCAGTTTACATTTATTGCCTATTAAAATATTCTCTACTTTTGGACCCTTGTAATCGATTGAATATACACTGCCCTCCAAAAGTTTGGAAACGCCTGAACAAAATAGGGTTTTTGGGCAATATCAGCATAAATCCTCTTTAGTTAGTGACCATTTTGCATTGATAATAAGGGACAACACAAACTATGAAAACATATTTTATTAAATAAAAAGTTTATGAACATAAACATGAACATAACATAGAAAAATACTCAAAT